TAAAATGTCAAACATTTTAATTTGACTATGTCATCACACAGAAAAGGTGAAGAGTTGACAATGTTTTATTATTTAAATTATCTGTTTAGAAATTGTTTAGTGTAATTATATTCGACATACTAACTTCTTCACTCAGTTCGAGTCCTTATTTACTGTCGATAATTGCTGAATGTATGATGTGAGTGAAAAATCACTAGTATTTCAGTCAAAGCAGAAATATGATACAGTTACAAAGGAGTTGAAATTAATTTTGTTAAATGTTCATTGATGAGGGATTGAAAATACCATAAAACAAACTCATCATTAACGAGAAAGTACAAAAGAGTATCATTATAGGTCAATAATGTGGCCAGTTTAATTTGATATGCAAAATTTGTAATTAGTATTATAATCACGAATCCATTAATAAATTGAATATTGAATAATTGTATGAACAGATATCATACGATTTCATGAATTCACTAAATGTCAGTTTATTTCAAAACTGTTAGTATTGTTGTCATTTCATAAAATTTCACAACTAATCTCGTTCGTGACAAACTTGCAATGATTTCTGAATAATGTAGTTTCAGTGGACTAGTAAATCCATGTAGCTCTTAACCCAGTGAACTTCATTAGTTTTATTTGTGTGAACAGATGAAGATTTACCTTGACCGATATGCATAAAGTTTATGGTCACTATTGTTTAATAATATCATTTCACTCGTGTTTTATATACATGATTGTAGTTAACACGTCGTCTGTTATTTTTTTTCTAGATTTTGAATTATGCATTCAATAATGTGCGAAATATAGTCGCATTCACTGGTGGTGGACGATTCTTGACAGAATTCGGTTTATGTCGTCCTGATGGAAATCCGAATTCCATCAATACTGTTGAATGCAATACAGTGTTGAATGCTGCTGATAGTAACTTTGAATCATGGACCTTTTGGGATGAATATGAATTGTTTCCTAATTTACAGGCAGACCAAAATGCCGTAAGTTTTACGACTGTTTTATTTGTTTGTCTTTGAGTTCTGTCACTATTCATTCGATTGAAGATGTTATTGACTGCAGGTTGAATGAATTGGCAACTATCACGCTGAACAGTATCATCAGTAGAATATTAAAAAGTTGGGGTACACCTATATTCGTATGATTTCGAAATATTGTTGAGTTGATGTTCGTCAAGGGGATGCGTTTAGTAGAATTTTATTTGCAAAAATTATTAACACTCAGGAACTGTTAAATATATACACTACATCGATAAAATCGACTATAAGGATTAACAACAACTACTACTATAAAATATCATTCGTGAGTATCAAAGATCGACAGGAGTGTGTTTGAGTGGACTCATCTTTATCTTATATTTGAGACGGTCTTATGTCTCTCTTAAATAATGATATCTTATCCAGTAATTTTTTTCATGACCATTCATAATGAAATTCATACTTGGTCATGTTCATAGTGGAATGCATGCTTGTAAATCTAAACCATATGATTCTTGATGATACAACTCTATCATTCTATTAGGCTTCAAAATGCGTGGCTCAACTATAGTACTGAATGTTGTCAGGATAGCTAACAGAAGCCTACAGAGGCTTCCATGTGGCTGAACCACTTCACTCTAATTATAGCTCTACAGAATTTCTAGCATGACAGTATGACATACGTTGACTACATGATATTGGTGTTTAGCTAATTGAAGATGGGATCATATTGTATTCAGTATAGACTCCACATCGATAACTATGAATACATACAGTTTCTCAGTAAAGTTTCGATACATACTGGAATAAAGTTTCCTTCAGTCTCTTCCGATTTTCGTTTTGAGACACTTATACATTTCTACTAGTCCCGGTATCAAAAATTGAATCTTGAATTAGTCTTACTAAAATATCAGACCTAACAAATATTTGAAACAGTTATTACCTTTGATAAATTTGGATAGTGTTCAGATGACAAATATTTTTAGACTTACCACACTTTATAATGAAATGCACTGTGGAAGTAAGATTTGCAGTGCTCAATGTGACCACAACAATACCAACTCGTTCAAATCGCAAAACGATATCGTATTCAATGAAATATTAATGAATCATAGTTCATTTTGAAATATTAGGTTAATTAATTCACCCAAATAGATCTCTCTACAACTCATTCATCTTGACTGATTTTACTTTGAAGTCAGCTCATAATTTACATTATTTGTGTAACGCATTACCTTAAAATGACAATGTTTCTGCCATTTTTATCTAGTTGAGATCCTTCAGTCGCACCTACCCACAGTCAACTGCCGGTCAACCAGTTCAAATGCAGTTCAATGTAGAAACAAGTGTATTTTCTTATAAATTTATACCAACCCTGAAGTCTTGTACCAATGTGGACAAAGAATTGTTAATTGCCGAAATATTTGTTCCATTGTCTATTCATTATCCAAATGGATTAGGAACTCGTTTCACTCCAGACATATTGTATTATAGAATGCATGAAACGAATACGAATTTGATGCTTGTCTATGCACCATGTACATTGATTGATACAGATGTTAAACTTATTGAAATTACAATTTCACCAAAAACTAAATGACAAATAAGTATTCCATTGAGAATAATGCGCACTGATTAATTTTACCTCTAAATTCATATGAATCTTTTTTCTTATTTTCAACTGATTGATATTTTTATATTTTTTCTCAGCTATACGTTAACTAATCTTATCCGTTCTTGTTTAATATTTTTAGTAATAATTTTATTTTATATTTTTCAAATTATTTATTTTTTAAATTAAACAGAGATTAGAAATAAATTTGAATAACAAAAACAAATTGTCTAGTCTTTAAACAAAACACCACATGGAAATGAATGCGAATCGACGCAGTAAATGAATGTGAGTAGAATGTGATTGAATTCGAGTGACGATATGGAGGGACTGCAGTGTTATAAGTGTTCATTACTATGAGTAAAACAGTGTAGTTTCATAAATATACCAGCCATTGAATGATATCTGATAGAAAATTAAATCAACTCGTGCCTCTTTCGAAGCAACTGATTTTGTTTCGTTTAACTACAAATTACTACCTGATGAATGATGCAATCACATATAAGGCAACAACTACATGACAAGTGATTTTTTCCAAACTTTACAGGTACATTTCTTACCAACTTCAGATGCAGAGATATCTCTGGTAGTAAAAGCATCCTCATTTCCAAATAGGTACGTGAAGGGAAATGTTTCGTGAAGTCAATAAACATCGATGACTGACGATATAAGACAGCGAAATTACAGTCAGTGGTTGTGTCCTGGTTGCGCACTCCTGATGATGAATTCAGTGTCTATCAACAGTCTAACAGAGAATAAAATTTCAATAATTTGAAAGATATCATCTTTCAAAGATGATTCACCGAGTATTTAAAGCTGGAATTAAGTTTTAATGGCGTTGACATATTGTAATTGCATTAATGCATAGACTGAATATTTTCTGTCTACGTAAATGTTTTGAAATATAGCACACTATTGCTAAAGAATGTTACGGTTTAGAGAAACTAATTACACTACTGAATACTGATAAGTAGTATAGAATTGCACACAGAAAGATATTGGAAAATCATTACCGGGCAGGAAAACATTCACATTTATTTGGTCTCATTTAAACAATACGTTAACAACATGTACACTTTACTTGTACTTATGATCTAATCGAATGTGAAGTCAGCAGTGATTTCTAACATTTCACAATGAAGTTGAATGATTCGATCCACATGACGAAACTAGTTGAAGAGATTATTTGATTTTGATCAGAAATATTAAATTTATTGTGAACATAAATTAACTACTGTGTAAAAATAGTAGTGTGAATTCACAGCTGAAAAATCCATCGGTTTTAAAATATGATTGGCCTGGATTTCAATATTTTAGGTCAATATGAATTTCGGAATAATATCGTACGATATTGTTAGCGAACAGATTGTCCCAGTTTCATAACAAGATTTTAGATAACATCCATCGATAGTCACATTTATTAGTACATATTTGTAGTGTGACAGTATGTCCTCTACCCAACTTCAGCATCGTTATGCATTGTAGAATTCAATTCCAGTTCAAATCTTACTATGCACGTCATCCAAACTCCACAAACTTAATCCTTCATACACTTTACGGCTTCAGTAAACACTGGAAAGGAAATGGTTGCAATCAATTGTCTTCGTTTGAGGAAACACGTGAAGTATTCCTCATGGATTCAGAATAAAAGTCAAACAGCTGTGTAGGATCCAAACTGAGGTTTGGACGGAGGAATAACTGTCTAGGTAGTTTAGATACGCATCTTACCCAGCTGAGTTCAAAACAAGTGATTTGAGTTAATAACGGTTCTAATATTCATCGTAAATATAAATTTACATCATTACCTAAATAAATATTACTATTCAGTTATTGCAACAACAATTGTTCAGTTACTCAAGTCGACAGCAACAAATAAATATTATTCTATCATTTGTGGATAGATCAGATTTGTTCGACAGATAATATTTGATTGCTTTATAACACACGGTGTTTCTGAATCTAGAAGAGTGCTTTAATTCACAATCAAATTGCACAATTACAGTCCAAGCAAGCAACTCAGTCAAAATAGGAACAAATCAATATGGCTGTCGCTATGACTAAGTATCAGCTTAAACAACATAATAAATGCAGTTCAGAAAGAAACATAGAAATTCAGTGAAGGCAAATGAAATAGAAACCATAATAAAGTACAAATATTGTCATCTCAAAATGGAAACGAACAGACTGACAAAATGTACAACTGAAGGAATCAATAAGGACAAATTACAAATGTATACTGTGAGGGATTTTCACAAACAAAATCTTCAAAAATGGATCGTACAGGCTTACTAATATTGAGAGAACTTAAAATTTATTCACTATATATTATGAATGAAGCAGGAATATTAATTAAGGATAGTCTTTTCAATCAATTCTCTTCAGATTCTTCAACAAAATATCCAGATTTGTAGTCCCAAAATTTTATCAGCCCTAACACAGTAATACATAGTTCTAAAATCCTAGTATTTGAAGTCAGAACTGTTTGCAAAACAAAAATAAAGTTTCAAATATCGAGTTTACTGATATGATATGTCAACATGTTGAAAGGAATAGAGTCAATAAAATTCAGATTATTCCTTGCAGATTATCATCATTCTTTTTGCTTAAATTGCCTTAAAACGCAATTTTATTTTAGGAAATGTTCTCTTCAGGTTGGGCTGCGTGATCAACTAGCAGTGAAACATCATAATATTTATTCTCTTTTATCATTGCGTACGGTCAACTATGGACACACACATTTCGTTGGGACAGTGTTGAAATACTAGGGATAGAGGAAGTATAAATAACACTAGAGAAAGTTCAAAAGACTGGCACGTGAGTCAATGAGCATTCAATGAACACATTAATACACACTCGCTTTATCAGAGATCTCATTGACAAACTTAAGATAACGAAACAGAACAAAGAGATGAAAATTTCAAAATGACGATCCAGGCAACCACAGATTTAACGGCAACAACAATTTGCAGTAACTTTTTCAACACTGTTCTTTCGTCAACAGCAATTAAATCAATCAATCCAGTGAAAACGACCTGCTATACCAACTTTGTGTAGACAAAGTACAGACAGGATGTAGGATCAGTGTTTGGGTACTTGTGGGGCGGTTTGGCTTCCTCTTATTTTCCTCAGGGTGATACAAGGAAGCGTTCGGTATGAACGGTAGATCTTATTTTGTTAGCTGATCGAACCAATCTAAACCGAGTAAATTTAGATCGGCTGTCGGATTGAGTTGAAGTAAGGTGGACTGGGTGTTGTATGAGGAGGCACATCTTCTCTGGTTAGTTGACAGTTGCACCACACGAACGTCAGACTGACTTGATCCACCACTCTGAACCAAAGTCATGTCACGATGCAGCTTGATAACTATCGGCACCTTCATTAATTCAGCTGCTGCTCGTATAATAATCCCGGACCCGAAGGATCTATCTCATCTCATACGCTATATTTTATATTATATTAAAACAATACATCAAACAATAGCAGCCATGGATTTTACGGGTACGAAATGTTATCACACGGTCAACTGATCAGCCCATACTCGAAAACATAAAGTGCAAATTTAGGACATTTATCATATGACTTCTGCGGATCTAACGTCCCTGACACAGAAAAACATTTGTGGTATAGGTTTGAGAACTTTAAATTAGTTTATCATGAATTTATTAAAGTGATTCAGACGTGCTGTTTCATTTTGGTCACTACTTTACCGACACTATTACTAAAAATAAAATACTACAGCTACTGTTATTTTATGTGATGAAATACAGTCCAATCAAAATTGTTCTAGGTGAAGTTTGTTCTCTTAAATCGTATTCTGTTACTCAATGAACTAATTATTACGTAATTTTTATGGATTTAGATTCACACTGATCGATGCCTTCATACTACTACTGTGGTGTGAGCAACTCATAAGTAGTATATGACGTGAGTGTCAACGTAATGTCTGGCAGCAGAATATGGGGGAAGATCAAGAAAGGAAGAGTTAGAACACAATGGGATTTATATGAAACGCATGAATAGTGACAATGGATTGATGTTTTGCAACAGGAACAGTCCAGTTTGATATGGTGGACTGATATTTTGCAAATGAACGATTTACGATATGGTTTTCCGATTTTAATGAGTGACTCTGTAATTTTCGTTAAATACAATCCGGTTGCCCCACCTGTGCTCTCCTTCACTACACTACCAATACTGCTACTACTATAAATACTACAAATACTACTTTATGGAAGATTCCTTGATAAATGAGAACAGAGAAACTGCAACAATGTCAGCAGAGCAACAATGAATTCAATGGATTTCAAGCTTTCTCAACAACTGTAAACAATTGTTAATTGAGTCTTAGTGTTAAACAGATGATTGATGGAAGTTTTGAGTTAGGCAGCTTTAAAAATAACATCCTATATCTGGGTAATGACATAATTGTTCTATATGTAATACGTTTCATTAATGCTGAATTTGTTTTCTCTCAGGCCATAATGAATTGTCTATTCGTAAGATTCTCTTCTTTATAATTTTGATAGCATATAACTTATGCGACAATTAAAACAATCTTATCTGCTGCTGATCAGACAACACCAATTAGCAATACATCATTCACAGTTAAATCAACACTCTTCTTTCGTCGCCAGCAATTGTATCAATCACGTAAGAACAGAAACAAGTTTGCGGAAAGGACCGATAATATTTTTCTCAACACTTTCCTTGAAACCTGTGTTTGAAAATAATATCAAATCAATACAACTGCTATCGTTAAACATCTTTTAATTAGCTGGTCTGCAAGGAATGTCGATAATCCATGTAAGGGACATAACAGACGAAAATCCATCATACAACAGTTAGCAGGAATCATCACTATCCAACAATTTCAAATTTAACTATATATAAACAAATATTGTATGATTTCCCTTTCCGTACATTAAGGATTAGATCTAATAACCAATAATAAATTTCAATTTTATTATTTATTTTCAACCATGTTATCAACTTTTATTTTCATTTTTATCATATTCACATCGTTTGACATTCATCCCATTCAAGATCATCCCTATTTTTCCTAATATTTTGATATTTGTTAAGTGTCAAACATTATTCTCACTTCACTATTTCATGCCGGAT